AGAACCTTATCGCAAAACTCCACAAGCCTAATTAGAACGCCTGTGTGGGCCTGCTAGCATGAGCGACAAAAGGAACATACCCATCTACGAAAGACTGCGATATTAAGAGGGCGCATCGCGAAGCTTTGCTTTCTTATCGGTGTCATAGGACATGTCTAAGTCAAGATTCCCAATGCATTGATAGAGGTAGGAAAGTTATGGCGGCTGCGATATGAGGTCTTGAAGCTTCAGTGAAAGGGTATACTGGATGTGATGAAGATTGCGTGCCAGGTGTATGGTGACTTGTATCAGCGGCCTCGGCAAGCGAGGGGGCGGCACTGGAGGACTGCATTTTTGGTGGTGCTCCTCGAGTACCGAGTCTCGATTCCCAGGGAAAACCCAAAGGTCTGGCCTTTATTGGTTGTACCTGCAATGGCCTTGTTGAAGGCATTGTTTTGGCTGAACTTGGACTTTCTCTAGGGTGAAAACCCAAGATCTTCGACCGGGCAACGACAATGCATGTGCATTGTTTTCTTCTTGGAGGTGTTGCTTTTGAAGAACCTCTTTTGTATTCCGGTTGTTGTCTTTGGTGATGGTTAGAGTGCTGCTACTCCTAGTGGTTGTTCACGGTGGCAGGGTCTGTTTTCTTTCTTCTGTTCTTTTTTTCTTATTTTTTTGAAACGGGCTTTTATTTTGTTTTTGGATGTGTGTATCGTTGATGCCTTTAGACATCTTGTTGGTACAGAGGCCGAGTGTAATTGGCATCTTCGCGATATTAATATATTCCTTTGTGGAAAAGTCTATGAAAGACTGCACATCCAGTATTCAAAAATTGTCCAAGAAAAGGTGTCAATCTATGCTCCCAATGCACACCGCCTTTAATCCAATCGTCCTTAATTCACTCATGGAGCAACTTGTGGTCTAGTTATTGGTTGCATGCTCACTTGAGTCCCTTTTGTTTCTGCCTGAATTACTACATGCAAGCAACATTCATTTAATGGCCTTCTCTCAGTGGTTACATGCACACATGTGTCTCCTACATTTCTACGTTAATTAGGCCATGGAGCAAAGTCAGCTCTTTTCTTGATCTATGTGTAAATCTCCAAACGTACGGTCTTTTGCGGATGGAGGGAGTAGGTACTAAAGTTTTGCTAAAAAAATATATACGCACTAATCGCCAAAAAATACAGATATCCAACCAAAAAACCGAGAAAACATTTTACAATAAAAAGGCCACAATAATCTAGAAATTCATATGTGAAAAAATAGCTAATGGAAAATATACAAGAATTGCAATGGATTAGCTAATAAAATTGTAATGGTATACTTGTTAACACTACCACACACAAAAAAGTACCTTCAAAATAATGCCATGACAGATGACAACTACTAAAATTTTCATGGTCTGCATTAAAAAAATGAACACAAGCACCTAGCTTCCATTTGCCATGACTTATGAAAAATCAAATTACCACAAAATTTGCCGTTGGTTCCACATATAAACATTACCAATTCTACATATAATAGTACTACCATGGTCTAAATAATAAAAATTGTCATGGTGTACATAATGAAATAGCAATTGTACCTACAAAATGAAACTGCCCTGATCTAATTAATAAAATTGCTATGATATAAAATTAAAAATCACCATGGTGTCGATGATATAAGTGCCATGTTAGCTACTACAATTAAACTATCATCGTGTACTTAATAAAATTGCCATGATGTAAAACTAATAAACAATAAAATTATTGACCATGGTCCAACAAAATAAAGTTGCCATGGAACAATAAATAGATTTTCCATGTTGCAAATATAAATTTTCCATAGTCCAAATCTAAAACTTGCCCATGGTAAAAAAGAAATTTGCCATGGTAATAAAATTAGTTTGACATGGTCCAAAATATGAATTTGCCATGGCGCCAAATAGAAAGTTTTCATGGTAGATAATGTAACATGGATTTTCTGGTAAATTTGCCATGCTCCAAAAATGATATTTCCATGATCCATAAAGTAAATTTGCTATGGTTTGTATAATAAATTTGGTATGTTCCATACAGTAAATTTTCCATGGTTTAAAAATCATGGCAAAATAACTTTGTAGATCATGGCAAATGTGGGTAAAAAAGTTTAGGAATTTGCAAGGGCACATGGTAATATTTAAGAAAAAAATGTTCTCTAGAAAAACACATGGCAATTTTTTGGGTAATATGTAATCGGCACATGGAAAATATAAGGATTGTTTTCATTTAAAAAGATGCCAAGTTTAAAATTTTGCCATCGACAGATTGCAAGTTTTAATTTTGTTCTCTAAGAGACATGGCACGTCTTTAAAATTTGTAAATGGCCACATGACAAGTTTAGGAGATTTGCTATATAAAAATAAATATAATATTGATTGCCCATGGGAAATGTTGAAAACTAAATGTAGATGAGACATGGCAAAAATACCCATTTACCTAAAAACATTTCGAATTCTCAATGGGACACAGATGTTATCATGCCATCACAAAAAGAAGGGAAGGAATAAATGGAGGTTGTCGGAATCGGGGCTCCGGGGACCCAAAGGTTCGAACTCTGGAGTGCACTCGTTCCTACTGCTCTACTCATTCCTGCAGCAAACCACGGCGAGAGCGAGCTAGTAGGAGCGGGCCAGTGACACAGTCGTTACCTAGGTTCGGGCCACCTTGCGGTGTAAAACCCTACTCCTGCTTGGTTTGGATTGCTCTGGTTTGAGAGGGAGCGAGAGTACAAGGGTGAAGGATCAAGTGGTCGCCCTATCTACGACGTCACCTTGCCCTCCTTTTATACCTGCCTTGGTCCTCTTCCCCCGAAAACATTGGCGGGAAGGATTGCCACACAACAACAATTTTGAAGGGGGACATGGGCGCAGTCTATCCTGACAAAAGGTGGTCTTCCCCTGCAAAGCCACCGCGCATGACGTGCCTGTGGGATCGGTGATGACCTCCGCCCTGCGCGCCCGTCATCTTAGTCTTCTTGCACCAATCAAGCAACCTTTGGGGGTTGCTTTGGGAATCGACGAGCTGGCCTTACTCCCTTAGCACAAAAGAGGAAAGCCTCCTCATCAGCGCCTGCTAGCATGGCCTCTGGCATCGTTCGTCGCCGTGCGCGTCACCCACATGAAGACTCAGGGCCGTGCGACCGGGCTGGACAGCACCTGACTTGCTTGCCTCCGAGAGGGGGCCTCGCGAGGCTCTTGGTGGAGCTGCCTAGCCTGCTCGGTGATGCCTGCTGACGGGCGAGGCCTCGTGAGGCAAGGGCCTCGCGAGGAGTCCTGCTCGCGATGCTTGCTGGTGGGGGAGGGCCTCATGAGGCAAGGGCCACCCGCTGGGCCCTCGACACGCACCGCGTCCTAGGCCAAAGGCAGACGGGTCTGGGTACCCCCGGTCCTACGGGCCCAACAGAGGTATATTTAGTTGGCATAGAAAAAATGAAATTAAATTGCCAAAGTCATTATAATAGAATCTTGATTACCATGGCAATTGTAGGTAAAAATGTAGATGAGGCATGGCAAATGCAGTTTCGTTTTGGACATGGAAACTTTTAAAAATTGCCATGTGTCAGCAAAGCAAATTATGATGTGTTATAAAAAACGTAGAAGTGACATGGAAAAATGCCATGCTACATATGATGAAAATGAACAAAAGGCAAATGTAGGAAGTTTGTTATCTAACAAACATGGTGACTTTTTGGAAATTTGTAATGAGAAGATTGCAA